ATTTAAATCTTCTTTAATGTCTCAGTAATATTTTCTGGTTTCCAGTGTAGAAAAAAATGTAAATCTTACAATAGGTTTACTCTTAGGTATTTGTTGCTTTTGATACTATTGCAAATATTAAATAATTGAATTTGTTTAACTGATCCAATGTAAGGATGTGCAATAATTTGATATTTTGACCTTGTTAAAGTTATAGAGTCATTCTTAGGTTTGCAGAATATTTTGAGTTTTTACATTCGTAATCATGTGGTCAGTGACACATTTCATTATTTCTTTCCCAATATTTAATCCTGCTTTTTCTTTTATCCTACTTCTTCATTGCCCTGGCTAGGACATCAAATGAAATGCTGAAGGTAGGTGATAAGAGTGAACATACTTGTCTTAATCTCAGTATGGGGTTGGTATGAAGATTCCTTATTTTACTTTTTATTTTTTCTTGTGATATTAGGAGTGCACCCAGGGGTGCTTTACCACTGAGCCATACCCCCAGGCACTTTTATTTTGATACACAGTCTTGCTCCATTGTCCAGGCCAGCTTTAAACTTGAATCTCCTGCCTTATTAGCCTTCTATGTTGCTAGGATTACAGGCATATGCCCCTGTGCCTGGCTACCTGTAGGTTTTTAACAGGTTATTAACCTTACCAGGTTAGAAAGGTTCCCTTCTGTTTCTAGTTTGCTGATAATTTATATTGTCAGACTGTTGACTCATTGGCTTTCTCTGCATCTACTGATATTATCATATGTTTTTTCTTATTTTTTCTGCTATATATGAATTAATTTTCAAATGTTAAATCAACTTTATGATGTATTAGTCTCTATTATAGATTTCATTTGATAATATTTTATTTAGTATCTGAGCATCTATATTTGTGATCTTTACAGTCTTCTAAGTAGGAAAGAGTTAAGCAGCTAGCCTCTGATTAATTTCTTTCTGAGACACCTTGGTGATGTTTCAGGCAAGAAAAAAGTCGTGCAACCTAGGTGAATCTTCTTCTGCATGTATTGATAACAGACTTCATGCAAATAAGGTAACATTAATTCTAGGAGGTAAAATTTTATCTATAAAGTGTTTTCACAGGATATCCCTATTATAGGACTTATTATGAAAATAAAACCAGAATGTATGAACTTATAGAGCATGGTTTTCAAGAAAATATTGTATAAGTTACTTTAATACCTCAATATGAGGAATAAGAAACATCCTCACATCCGAAGATGCTATATGTTACGGAAGGTGAAGAGGCTCATATCATTACATCTTGGACAAAAAGTTCATCCAATGCAAGAAAGAAGGACCTTGGAGTCCATGACACTGTTGAAGACCTCTGTCTGCTTTGCCTGTGCTCTACGACTTATATAATCTTAAGATGAGTATAACCTTATAATGAATAAAACTCCTATTCTTGTGTGTTTTTGAGTCTGATTTGCCAGTCCTTATACGTTGGCTCCATCAATTTTCTTTTTTGCAATGTGTCTGTCAGAATTGGGTATCAAAGTTATGCTTGTCTTCCAAAACAAGCTGAGAAGTGTTTGTATTTTCCTATTAGGTTGGAAAATCAGTAAACTTGTTATTTTTCCTTCTTAAATGTTAGAACAACTTACCAATAAAGTTATATGTCTAGATAGCACTTTTTGGAAGGCTATATGCTCCCCCTCTCATGGATGATGCCAGAAAGGCCCCTTATTCACAAGGCAATAGGTGGGTGTGTGCTCCTGAGATGCCTCTATCTTCTTTCCTAGTTGCTAGGAGGATGACTACAGTTAAATTCAGCATGAAGTTGGTAGAGAAGTGACTTTTAACATTCCTTTATTTAAGGAGCCAGAACATTAAGTTAGAAAATCAGAATTTATTTATTTTACAGGAACTTTGACATGGCACAGTATTTATCAAATCTGTGGTAGACTTGAATGCCCCCCCCCCCACGAATTCACTGTCAAAACCCAATTGTCAATGTAATAGTATTAAGAAGTGGTATGTTTAGGAGTTGATTAAGCCATGAGGCTGGAACCCTCATGAATGGGACCATGACCATTCAAAGGGCAAAGCCCCCTTTGCCCTTCTAACTCTTCAGTCATGAGAGAACACAATGTTTGTCCCCTCTGAATACTGGTTCTTTGACCTTGGATTTCTATCCTCCTGAATTGGGAGAAATCAATTTCTGTTCTTTATCAATTATCTAGTCTCAGACACTTGTTGTTCCTAGCAAGAACCCCAGGGGATAGAGCAAATCCAATGCTACAGCAGGTCTTGGAAGCCTAAAAACAGAGATGGTCAACACTGAAATGCCCACACTGATCTGGTAAAGGGCAGGAGAAGGAATAAAAAGGCTGAGTGAAATGGTCATCCTGGAATGGATAACATGAGGCTAGAAAACCTACAAGATTTTGTTCCAAGGGGAGGTCCCAGAAGACACACAATTAACTGAGACCACCAACAATGTGCCTATGTGAGGGTCCCAGTATCACTAGGATAAGTGGATGGCTCTTCTTTTTAGACAGGTCTGATGATGAGGCAGTCACAGAGCTGGGCTTGTTAATATCATTCAGGGGTAATGGACCCTGAAGTAATAGAGGGCCCTGAAGACTGGAACTTAATACCACAAGCCAAGAGGCCGTAATTAGTCTAACAACTGGTGAAATTGGAGGGGTAGTTAAGTGGGCTTGACTCCCAGCATGTTTGTGAGATGATTAATTGAAGGCATCACCCCTCTAGGCAGAACACATGAGCAAATAACAAGGATGTTACTTAATACCTGTAACCAAATAACTATAGCCAAATAAGGTAAAAATGGAAAAGAGTTTGAAGATACCACACCAATGAAATATCATGATTTCTTGCACAATTCCCAAACTCGAGAGAATTTTCAGATAAAGAATACACAGATGGAAGAGGTGCTATGTTCCTAGAAGAAAAAGGAAAAGACCTTGTTACAAATGGTGTGTGTGTGTGTGCGTGTGTGTAGTGATGAATCCTCAAGTTCTTCCCCAAATGGACTCATGGTCATTATTAGAGTGACTAAATAAAACACTGGCAAAAGAGAATATCCAAACATTTCTAGGATTATTTGGCCTAGGGTTCAAGTTGACACTGGTGTCTATTCATCTTCCTGGCAGCCAGGCTCAAATGAAGATGTACAGAACAAGGGATGAACTGAGTCATGAAAATTTACCACTCAGATCTCTTGCTAAGGGGAGATTATATGACTAAGTGTCCCAGCTACTGCTCTCTGAACCCACTGATATTTTCTTGCCAAGGCTATATTAGAACAATCATCGAGAGAGCAGGTATACTAATGCAAGCTTATCCCTACTATAATTCCTCCAATAAGAAACTTTGGCTTCAGTGTTCTTCATCAGCTGACCTGAAACTTGACTGTAATTGTGCGGCAGCATAATGTCCCACTATTCAATGGTCCTTTCTCCGCTTTCCTTCTATATTAGTCAGGGTTCTCCAGAGAAACAAACAATAGGATCTGTCTGTCCCTATCTATCCATCCATTCACCCACCCATTCATTCACCCACCCATCTAGATATTTACCGTAAAGAACTAGCTCTTGCAATTATTGAGACTAAGTCCCATAATCTGCCTTCTGAAGACCTGAGAGCCAAGAGCACTGAGGCTGTTAGTCCAGTCCAAGAGCAGAAGATGGAGTCCCGCCTCAATAGTCAGGCAAAGAAAAAAATGTTTCCTCTATCTTTTTGTTTTATTCAGGCCCTCAGCAGATGGGATGATACCCACCCACACTGGGGAATTGGTCTGTTTACTCAGTGTGTTCAAATACCATGCTCTGCCAGAAATGCCCTCATGGACACCCCAGAAATGTTTAAGCAGATATCTGGGTCTTCTGTGGCCCAGTGAAGTTGACACACATAAAGTTAAACCTTGTACCTTCACAGGTACTTCTTCTCCATTTCAACTCCCAGAGGCATTTCTCCAAAGAATCTCTTAGAAATCAAATCCTATCTATATGTGCTTCTTGGAGAACTAGAACTAATGAATTTGGATTTTGTTCTGGCAGGTAGTTACTTGAGGATTGGTTTTATACCATTCAGCTTGCTTGTGTGTGTGTGTGTGTGTGTGTGTGTGTAGGGGGGCAGTGCAGTTTTAGATAGGAAAGTTAGCCCTACCAACATTATATGTAACCTTTCAGGGATCTTGGGTGAATCCCTGGAGCTCTCAGAGAGGACTCTCCAAGATAGCTAGATGGAAATTAAATATTTCCTAATCTCATGTTAACTTTTGAGTATTGATAGGCTTAACACTCAGCAATGGGCATAATGGGATCTCTATGTTCATTTTTTGCAGTTTTTTTCTCTGCATACCATCCACTTCACTGACACTGAAAATTCAAGCCATGCCAGTCTCAACTCGTCTTTTTCTCCTTAACTCGGCAAAATTGCTCTGCTTATGTTCCTTCTCTTGCATTGATCCAGAGTGTTCACCTGCAGAAACTGAAGACCACGGTAGGTTTCTCCTTGTGTACTTCTCTCAGTTATCAATCCTTTGCTGCCAGGTGTCCAATGTTTGAAAAGTTGCTCCATTTATTTTCCTCTCTGGCTTCTTTAAACAGCAACAGCTAAGATTTGTACGATTTCTAATGTGTGCATTTAGGGCTATAATTTCCTGTAAGCATTTGCTTTCATGGCATTTGGTTTTGATACTGTTTTTTCATTAGAATTCATTTTGAAATATTTTCTAAATTTTGGTCTGATTTATTGTTTGATCCATTGGTCATCAGGCATATGCTCCTTAGTTTATAAGCATTTGGAAATTCTTTTGTTATCTTTATGTAATTAACTTCTAGTTTAATTCATACTAAATATGATCCAATCTTTTGAAATTTGTTGAGATTTGTGATTCAGCTTATGGTCAGTGTTTTTAAATAAATATTTGGAGTATACTTTAAAAAACAGAAATTTAATGTTTTTGGATGTAATGTTGTATGTCTTATTCATATGTTCAAAGTGCTAATAAATAGGAGCTCAATATATACTGCGTTGAATAACTAAAAAAAATATTAATGGAAATTCCAGACCAATAAAAGTAGATAAGATGATCCTCACAGAAGAAAGCCAACTGAAATCATGCCATTTCCCCAGAATCCAACCAACATTAATGCCAACCCTATATGTGGTCCCAATTATTTTTCTTCTTATGTTTCTGCCTGTTTCTCTTCATTAGTTGTAAGCTTTGTATCGTTAGTGTTGTATGACTGTAGAAAATAGTATCCTGTGAAAAGTTAATAACATTGATTTATAAAGTTCATGGTGATACAAGAAATGGTTAGTTTTATTCTTCATTTTTTCTCTAAACAATTCATGACTATTTCTGATATGACAGAAGTTTAGACAGTATCTAATATCTCAATGGTCAAATTTTTAAAGTACAATCATTTTCAGTTTTCCAAGTTCCACTGTCACTTTCTCTTTTTTATAAACCTGAGGTTAAAACTGGTATAAACATACAACCCCCAGTATGTTTAATCTTCCTATTTAACCCTTCTTTCAAATTTGTTCTGGATAACATATAATGGTTATAGAAAGAAGAGAGGAAACCAGTTTAGACAGTCTAACTGTGTATTATTCAGGCTTAAAAATACCTTTTGTATACTCTCAAATTTTTTTCAACCTGATTCTAGCTGAAGTTCTGATGAACAGTCTGTAAGGTTTTATTCTGCTTCATGCTGACAGTGCCACATGTCAAGCATGCACCAAGAATCAAGCCTCCTGTCCCAAAGTTTCTCTGTTGCAGCAAGGTGTGATGTCCTGTACCAATCCAGACCAATGGGGGAGTTAATGCAGCTGTCAACACCAAGGAGGTGGCTACTGACATAAAAATACTTATCCCTTTCATCTCTCAGAAAGACAGTTTTGAGACAGATTCTTGAGAAGGTTCTGCATTATATAAGCATTACAGCAGTGTACCACTTGAAAGCATTACCTTGTTTTGCTTCGATCTTTTCCTTTTTCCCCTCTTGGTTTCTCTTTCACTCCTCCTCCCTGGGATTAAATTCCCAAACAGAATGTCATTACCTTTGTTTCAGGCTCTGCTTTTTAAAGAATAACCTAGACTAAAACAGTAGGAAAGTAGGCTGTTGGTAGATTATACAGTGCACAAATCTAATTTTCCTTGATTCTGCACATGCTACGAGGAAATATTCATTCAGTAGGCAGCATAGTTGGTGATTTCCATCTTTTTTCTTTTTTGAAAGCTCATCATCCATAATGAGCCTGACCACCTAAAGAAAAAAAAAAAGGTGGTAAAAATTAGCTTATAATAGGCAAATTTCTTTGATGATGTCTCTGAGCATTTTTCTGTGTGAGAGGGTCCTCAGCAACTTGAATACTCATATGTATTATGGAAGAGCACTCAGTCAACTTAATCAGGTAAAGCTTTTTGTTGCTTTGGAAACAAGCATATCACATTTCTTATACTCCTTGGTAGAAAGCTGAATCTTTTACTATTATAAATCCTTTTTTGCTAAGAAACTCAAACATAACTTAAAAATACATGCCTTATTGGACTACTAATAGGTCTTTCTTTATTCATGAAGAACTTAGAAGAAATGCTCTGAAAGATATAGCATTATTGGGAATAAATTTAAAGTTTTCCATATGTTAGCCTTGAGTAAAAACGTTAATAATTACAATTTCTTACTCATTTGAGACACTACAGAGATCAAAATTGATTAAAATTCCTCCCTTATAGAACCTATATTTTAGTAGAACAGAAGGTGAGATAATAAACAAATTAAATAATTAAAACACATTGTAATTAAAATAACGGGTATAGATAAAAATAAACTAAGGCTGATATTCCGACTGAATCATATCCTTTCCACAAAATTCACATATTGAGCCCTCAGTATCTCATAATAAAGTATATTTGGACATCAGGCTTTGAAGGTGGTAATTAAGTTATTGAGGCCTTAGGGTGGGGCTCTAACCAAATCTAATACAAAAGGAAATTTGGACATAGTCAGAGAAAACAAGGGAGTTGTAAACACAGAAAAAAAAACAAAAACACAGGAGGATACAGCTACCTGTGGCCAACTGCAAGCCAAGGCGAGAAGCCCCAGGAAAAACCAAACCAACCAACACCTTGATCATGGACTTCAGTCTCCACAACTGAGAAAGTACAATTCTGTTGTTTAAGTCATTCAGTCCATTAGCTCTGGCAGTGCAAGCGAGCTAATATATATGGGAGAGAATGTGGAAGCTTTTTTGCTTGCTTGTTTTCATAAATAGGTCTCACAGAGATAATGACATTTGCATGAAGACCTGAGGAAGAGAAAAGAGCATAGAATATTTAGGGGAGGAGCATTCTGAAAGGAGGAAAAGTAATCCTCAGATTCCTGAGTTGGAGAGAGGTCTGTATGGTTTAAGACATAATTATTAGAAGATGAGTTTGAAAAGGTGTAGAATAAGGAAATAGTGGTAGAGCCTGTGTCAAAAGATTCTCAAAGCAGGCAGGGCCATATTGTGCCCTGTGGGGATGTTCTGAAAAATTGTGAGGATATTTTGACATTAGATTGGGGTGGTACTACTGGTCTTAAGTAAATTTACAGTCATCCTCAGGATAGTTCTATCTAATGAGATATTTTCCCACATTCCATGTGACTTTATGCCCTACTGCTCATTTCAGATGATGAACATTTTCCAAAATTTGACTGTGGGTAATGGTTACACTCATCTGGGAATATACTAAAAAACCCATTCTGAATTGTATACTTCAAATGGATTAATGTATGGCATGTGAATTTTATCACAATAAAGCCATTAAGAAAAAAACAGCCATATAAAGGTTAAACTCTGCATATTCAAACAACTGAATACTGTGTAGCATAAAAACAATCAAAAAAATTTTAAAAGATTTGTTACATGAAATATGTACAAACTCAAATATAGCATGTAGTGAAAGAAACCAAATACTATAGAGTACTTATTGAATCAATAATTTCGTGTAAAACTCAGGAACATAACAAAACTCACTTTTGTATCTAAGGTAATGGCTATATTTGGGGAGAACTTTGTGACTGGGCAGGGGCTTTTAACCGTTTATATCTTGATCTGGATTCTGATTGTCAGGGTTTGTTTGTTTTAATTTGAAAGCTTACTGAAATATATTTACAATTTGTGTACTTTTTTCTATGCTGCACTTAAAAGTTCATTTAAAATTTTTAAAAAATCTAGCTGTTCTATAACTTTATAAGTATGCATTAAAAAAGGACTAAAAGAATGCATAAATGTTTCAAGTTATTTTATATGAATTGGGATTGTAAAGAATTTTTATTTTATTTATATTCTTTTCATTATTTTCCAAAAAGTACCACAGTGGACACACATCCCATTTCTCACAGGGGAAAAAAGCTATCAAAATACATAGTCTGAGAGTTCTTGAATTAGTTTTCCACTAAACAAATTTATTCAAAATGTAGGAACTTTGGCTTTTGCTCCCAGATGAGAAGTAACTGTCACTGGTGCGTGTGTGTGTGTGTGTGTGTGTGTGTTTGCCTGGGGGTTCCTGGTGGCCTTGATGAATACCAGGAACTCATCATCTGCCTCCAGGAGAAAAGGCAGAGTGCAAGTGTAGTATTCAAGAGATGGTGAACTAAGCCTAGGGGTGATACCCAAGCACAACTAAGGGGTGTGTGTGGGGGGGTCACATTCCTCACAGAACCTGGGTCCTTAAGGTGAGCAGGTCAGACGTGGGCAGTGGTGGGGGACCTCACTGAGTTCTCAGCCTCTGAGCCAGGCAATGCATGACTAGCTTCTGATCACTGTCATCTTCATGGTTTTTAAGGCCAGATGCTAAGAGTGTTTTTTTCTCATTTTTACAAGCTTGTGAAAACTAACGAAGACGAATATGTGACAGAGGCAGTTCCTGATCTGCAAATCCTAAAATATTTGATATTTGGCTCGGAACAGAAGTTTGCCAACTCCTTAACTAGAATTGAAGAGGCTATGCAGAAAAACTTCTTAAAGTACTTAAAATTCTTACCTGGGAATGGGCTTGCTGGCGAGGAGCCGCGTGTGGAACGAGTGTGCCAGGCTGCACTTGTACCGCGTAGTGTAGTACTGCTCAGGCTCGGCAGACTGGGAACTTAGAATCCACTTCAGAGAGTGTCAACCTGCACCTCTGAGGAGTCCAGCCTGGAAGTGGGGATGGCCGGGCCCTTCCTGGTCTGTCCAAAAGGATAAGGATGCTCACCGCGGCTCTCAAAGGACTGCAACGGAGGGTTCCGAGCCTCCCACCAGGAAGGCATCCTTGTCATTCCTGGAGAAGCCAGCGGAGCCTCCACCGGGATTTCTTTCCCGCTCTTGGTGGGTCGTGGTCACTGGCAGGTTCCGAGTGGTGTGCGGGGCAATAGATAACTTTGGGTGAAACGCTTCGTGGGTGGGGCGGGACTCCTTGCGCATGCGCAGTGTTGCAACGCGCCCCCCCAGCTCCCCGCGCCGGCTCCGCCCACGCGCAGGCCTGATGGTTGTCCTTCGCGCGAGTGGGAAGAGCGCGCCGCTCCCTGGGCGCTAGAGGGCGGAAGGCTATTTGCAGGATTTGGAGAGTTGTGAGCATTGTAACCTTTCACCCTTAAATCCTGCCCATGTTTGAGCTATACGAAAGACAGTTACGTGTGATTCAGCCTAATAGTTCAGGGTGTATACCCTGAGACAGGGTTTCTCAACCACCGGGCTGTTGGCGTCTGGGGCAAGAAGGTTTTTAGAGCGTGCGGAGGGGTCATGTCGTGTAGTAAATAAGCAATGTCTAGCGGCATCCTTGGGCTGTACCTACTAAATGCCACCAGCATCCCCTCCTTCCCCAACTCCGACAATCCAAAACGTCCCCACACATTGCCACGTACCTGTGTGGTGGTGGCGAGGGGAGCAAAATCTCCAATATCGACATAAGCCATATGACATCGGATTCACGTACAAGGATCATCACTAGGAAATGTGACATTGCTACATCACTGTAATCAGGATAGAGTTCGTATATTTTAACTTCCTCAGTTGTCTCCAAAATGTCTTTGTTTATGGTTGGTAAAAGAGAAGCCTGGGATTAAGTAAACTGAGACACAGATTACATTTAGTTGTCAAATCTCTTTAGATTCCTTGATTTAGAGCAGTTCCCCAGTCTTTGTTTGTTTCTTGTTTTTCCTGGAATTGACCTTTTTTAAAAAATCTAAGATGGTCTGCCTATTCGTACAGAATATCCTTCACTTTGGACATGTCAGATTTGTTCCTCATTATCAAATTGACAATGATTATATATCACATATATATTTACATATATGTATACACACATATGCATTTTGGTGGTAAGAATACCTAGATAATTTTATATCCAATTTTATCTGTCTTCCTAGAACTATTTTCTATTTTAAATGCCTGCCTTACATTTTAAAAAAGTCCCCCCCCCCCAATGGGGCTGGGATTGTGGCTCAGTGGTAGAGCACTAATTTAGTAGGGGCGGGACCTTGTTCGATCGTCAGCACCACATAAAAATAAAGGCATTGTGTTGTGTCCATCTACACCAAAAAAATAAATATATTTTTTAAAAAAGTCCCCCCAGTGATTTAATAAACTATTTTTTTGTCATACATATGTTAGTGTTTACATTGTACTTGAGTCTACATATTTTTGGTTCTTTCCATTCTATCCTTTTGCTAAATTTAAGCTATTTTGATTATACAGACTATGATACATAGATCTGTATGTACCTGATGAGGCTGGTCCTGCCTCATTGCTGCTTTGTGTGTGTACATGTGTGTTTGTGGGTGTTTTTTATTCTTGCTTATTTTTTTCTGATTTTGGAATCTAGCTACATACAAGTTAGATTAAAAATTGGCATCAATTTTTATGATATTGCATTTTTCTATTGAAAAACAGTATTTATTTTTCCTTTTACTCAAGTCTCAATTTTCTCTTTCAGGAAAACCATAAAGTTTTTCTCCTATAATTTTTTCACATTGCTGAATTTATTGCTAAGTCTTTTGTGTTGTTAGTGTAAATGGGATCACCTCTTTTATTTTCCCCTGTAATTCCTCATTGCCTAAAAAAATGAGCATATTGATTTTTACATGTAATTTTATATCTTGCTGCTATATTTAATCTCCTTTAATGGATTCTAGGAGTTTTCTATTTGCATATCTATTTACACTTTAAAATAATTACTCATTTTGAAGTTCAAGTCGCTCATTTTTAGACATCTTCGGTTCTTGTGCTTATTGATACAACCTCAAGTGTCCCAATGGTGTCCTTGTGACATGTCTTTTACCTGTGTAGTATTGTACATTTACAATGTGTTTATTGCTCAAGACTTAGAATCAACTATTTCATTGCCTTCATGACAATAATAATTGGAGACTACCTTGTGTGCACTTAAGGATGCTCATGGCTAAATGGCTTGTGGTTACTTCTCAGCCTTTTAAATACAAGATCTAGAAACTATGTAGTTTTTAAAAGAAAAAGCAAGAATTTGTTATACGATTTAAGTTTTAATGAAAGACTATATGATTTTTACTTATTTGATTTTGTGTTGCACCTTTTCTCTCTTATACTGAGAAGCGTGGTTGCAATGATTCTAACATGATTATTTACTTTTCTTCATAATATTACAACTACTAGTAAAAATTCTAAGTGTAGTTGAATGTAACTAGGTTTGATTCATGCTGCTTTCAAATCTAGGTTTGCTTAATTAAAAGGAAATTAAATCCAAAGTGGGGGGAAAAAAGCAAGTGGAATATTTAATTCATTTATTTAATCCTCTAATTTTTATTTCTATAAACATGTCTTTGAATTTTGTTCAAAATGTTTTTTGCTGTATTTTATAGACTCTGATACTATATTTTATTTTTTTCTAGATTTTCTCAATATCAGTTGATATTTTCATTTGATTCAAGCTCCATTTAATAGAAAAATTCAAAATTTCAAGGTGAGAAGTCTTTCTCATGTTTTGATAGTCATAAATTGCTAGTTTTATCATAATGGGGTGTGTGTGTGTGTGTGTGTGTGTGTGTGTGTGTGTGTGTTGCTAGGGATTGAATTTAGGGCCCTGTGCATGCTTAGCAAGTGTTCTACCTGTAAACTATACTTCTAGCTTATCATACTGTTAATAGATAATATTATTAAATATAATTTATTGAAGTAGTCATATGTAAATTATGGAGTCACTTTTAATAAATTTTTTGTCTTGGATTAAGAGCCTGTTATATGCATATTTCAATTTTTTGACTATCATAATTTTCACTAAGTGACTGCTATGTTATTTTATGAATACCTTTCCATAAATATTTTGTTTTTATTTGAATTGTAGCATTACAAGGTTTGTGCATGTGTGTTAGTAATGGTGTTTTGTCTCCACTCTTTCTTGGATTTCAAAAATCTTGATTTATTTTCCTTTTAAATTTGCTTTTTCTTGTTATAACTTTGTCCATTCTTTCTCTTATTCATTCATTTAATTTCTTAATTGTTTTGCTTTATGTATGTCTTGTCTTTGATATAGCAGTTAAGTTTTCCTTTGGGATTAACCTAGTTTTTTTCCCCTTTAAATAATGGGGTTGAGCCTTTTATTGGCTATTATATTTGGCCTGTTATCTCATAAATTATATTAACATGTAATATATGGCATATTAGCTGGTGATAAGTGCTATTGAGAAAAACAAAGGAGAAAGGGAGGGATAGGATATGTTAAGGGGAAAATTCCATTTTAAATAGGTGATCAGGGGAGGTCTCACTGAAAACATGACTTTTGCACAAACACTTAAAGTGGATGAAGGATAACTCATTTGGATGACTGAGGTCAGATTGTTCTTGAGGAAAGAACAACTTGGGGAAAAGCTGACTGGTGTGACTAGGAATTTCTCTTAGGATAGTGGGAGGAAAGACCAGAAGGCCAGGCTTGTGGACATTGTATTCTGGGATGCACTCAAACAATACAGCAAAGTGGTTTCATATTTTCATATTTTCTGACTTCAAAAGTTATATTACTAAACACCTTTCCAAATCCATACCATTGCACTTATCTGTGAATATATTCTTCAAATTTTTGATGTTTCAGTTTGTACTTTGAATTCTACCTCCAAACACTTCAGATACAGATCACCGTTGTAGCTTTTGGCTATTTATCTGAAGTTATGTGTTTACAGGGAAAATTTCTGTCGAAACACAAGAATCAATGAAATGTATTTGACTAAATGTTGAGAATGCATTAAAAACATTATACTTGGAAACTTGATTAAAGGCCAGAAAATGACCGAAATTTTTTTTTTTGTAAGTGTTTGGGAAAGACATATATTCTCCTTAGATTTTTAAAAAAACTTTTTAAAGAAGAAGTCTAAGTTTTTACATAAAAAATGAAATGAGTCTGTATGTGAGGAAGGAACAATGATTAATTTAATCTGTAATTCAGAAAATCAGTGTACAGGAGGGAAGAGAGAAAGAACAAACTTTATTATGTATACACAGGATTACTTCTTTCTTGTCTTCTGTTTCATTTGGGACCATTTTATCTTTCATTTTTCCCTTTTTCCCCTTACCTTTTTTTTTCTTAAGCAAGCTGTCATAGTGAAATACATCTCCTATAGAAAACTGAACCGTGCATTGTAAAATAGGACACAAAACAAAAGATTTCATCTGAGAGCTGAGATCATCTCGCTGGCGGGCGCACACAGACCCGGTGCAGCAATTCAACAGTGTTTCCCAGAGCCGGGGAGCTGAAAGGGGTGGTGGTGATTGTGGGGTGTTGGTTGCTTTTCTCGGTGCGCTATTGCCCCCTGCTGTTCACATGGAAGCACTGACTCTACAGAAATTTAGGCTTTCCTAACTGCACATTTTAGCACAATGTTAGCTTGCTTTTGGAGAAAGTTGGAGAAGTAGTTTAAGCAGAATAATTTAAGGAATTGCTTTCTAAAACGCCGAATATCAAGTAAATTCCAAAGTAGTTTTTTCCCTACTCCTTGATAGGGTGAAAGGAATGTGATTCTGTTTTTCTCTGACGAATCTAGTTTCATTTTTAAGTTTGCGAGGTTAGCAGAGTCCAAGGTAATTGAAGTAGCTCAGAGATAAATTGACAAAGGCAGAGCAGGGAGTGCACAGAGAAAATGGAGGGCAAAATGTGCAAAAAGAGGAGAAAATGAATGCAAGTTTCTCAGGACCATTATGATATAGGTTAGAGCTTTAGAAATGGAGCATCGACACAAAATCTGTGGAGCTGATTTACTGGTCCGTTCTGCAATGTTTAAAGAGGTGTCAGGGGCTATGTCCTAGATGGAAGTTCACTATGTGCAAATGTGTATATTTGAGCATGGTAGTTAGTGTTAAGTGCTTCCAGTTTCAGAACTCTGTCACCCATGGACTGCTAGCTAATTCTTAGTTTCCAATGGGATTAAGGAGTAAAGGTACAGAGGATCTGTAAAAGCAGTCTAGAAACT